ACACCCTTCCTTCCCCTAGCATTGTGGGACCCGAGCAGGGCCTGCTTCCAACAGCTTCCCCACACGACCTTACAGAGAACCAGAGAGATGTCAGGATAGGAGGGACCATGAGAGGTCACCTAGTCCAACCCCCTGTGGCCCTGCGCAGAGGACAGAGCAAGGAAACCTAGTGACAGGGGTTTGTCCAACCATCCGCTGAAAACCTCCAGTGACGGGGATCCCACAACCTCCCTGGGAAGCCTGATCCGGAGCTGAACGACTCTGAGCGTTAGAGAGTTTTTCCTAATATCAAACTGAAATCGCCCTGACTGCTGATTAAGCCCGTTACTTCCTGTCCTACCTTCGGTGGACAACTGATCTCTGTCCTCGTTATAACAGCCCGGGACGTGTCTGAAGCTGTTATCAGGTCCCCACTCAGTCGGCTTTTCTCATGATTAAACAGGCCCAGAGTTTGTAACCTTTCCTCCTAGGTCAGGGTTTCTAAACCTTGGCTCATTTTTGTTGCTCTTCTCTGGACTCTTCCCCAGTTTGTCCACATCTTTCTAAAGTGCCAGCCCAGAGCTGGACCCAGGACTCCAGCTGGGGCCTCCCTAGTGCCGAGCAGAGCGGGACGATTATGTGACACTGCACCCCACATTCATCATCGTGGGATCACGATGGTGGGATTCTGGCACCATTATGCTGCACCTTGTCCAAGAGATGTTTTGTGAGGTGTCGGTGGAAAAGTGAGGAGTTGCTGAATAGGATTATCCTCTTTGTGGGCCTGTATCGTTTTTGTGTCTAACGTTATGAATATTGACTATGGCTCTGTATTTCAGCCCACATGACACTGACCTCCATCGTGATACCTGCATTTCCCCACAAACTGGGCTGGGAACTGTTTTTGGACAAAGAATTCCCGCCATATGTTAAAGCTATATAAGTGTGTGTGTGACATCATCAAGTGGCCTCACTCCCCATGCAAGGACACTCCTAGAAACACCTGAGGAACAAAGACTGAACTGGGAGAAGTGCTGGTTCCAGGCTAAAAGGATTTCTAGCCAAACCTGGTGAACGGCTTGTCTCATGAGCGTTAATTTGGGCATATGTAGCAATGACCAGTCCACAATGTGTATGTGTAACCAGTAAGGGAAACACCCTACCCCATTAGATCTCGAGGAACAGTCCTCCCTCTCAGTTTCCCTAGCAAACAGTGTGAAGTAAGACACCCCCCACCACAGGATCTTCCAGGTCCCCACTTTGTTACACCCCACTCACAGGCTGGGGGAGTGGAATTCCAGCATCTGGGCATGATCTCAGGAGGTCCATCTCCAGGTCCTTCTCCCCATATCAGAAAATACAGTTCTCAGCTCTCTGGTCTATGCTCAACCTCCACTGCCCACTGCTCGGCGCTAGAAGTTTCGCTTAGGGTGAGCTCCCTCACTCAGGGCATATAAACCACAGCCCTGTTGCCCTTTTATCCCACAATAAGAATAGCCACAATTTCATTTGCCACGCACCCAAAACTTCAATGCATTTTAACCCAAAGACCAAAACACGGACTCTCGAATGCTGGGGGTAACCAAGGTGCAAATGAGGCCTGGTCCATGCCAGCCCTTCCTCCTCTTCACTAGTAGATGGTAGCAGAGACCTCCTTCCTCACTGAGCTTCAGCCAGCACTGGGTGAAAGTTTGAAGGCTGATCAATGTAGATTTGGCTTGACTGAAACCTTTCAGGGCTTGGTGTCAAATTCTTTTAATCGGGGGGGGGGGGGGAATCCCTCCCAAAGCTTGAAATGGTTTGATTTTTTTCTGATTCAATTTTTCTCCAAAAGAAAAGTTTCATTTGACCAGAAACAATTTTTCCCCTGGAGTTTTGGGGCTTTTTTTGGAGAAAAATGTTCATTTCAGATCAACCCAAAATGATAATTCCGTCCCCCCCCCCCCGATTTTTCAGAAGGGCCAGAAGTTTTTCCTAATTCCCAGCCCCTTGCTGCAAGCCAAGCTGCTTCCTTCTGGTCCCCCCTTCGCTGGACACGGAGCACAACTGCTCCCCAGAGTGACCCGTGTTCTCCCGTCCCAGCTCAGCCTTCTCTTCCCCAGGCTGAACACAGCCAGGGCCTGCAGCCGTCCCTCGCTGGCACCTGAACGGGTTTGTCCTGGGACACGGGGTAAGGGAATGTGCATAAAAGAGATTTATGTCTACACTGAGCCCTGCTAGGCCCTCCCCCCAACTCACTAGACCCCACTTCCCTCTCAGAGCTGGGGACAGAACCCAGGAGTCCTGGCCCCCCATCTGCCTGTTCTAACCCCTAGACCCCACTCCCCTCCCAGAGCCTGACTAGAACCCAGGAGTCCTGGCTCCCAGGACCCCCTGCTCTAACCCACTAGACCCCACTCCCTTCCCAGAGCCAGGGAGAGAACCCAGGAGTCCTGGCTCCCAGCCCCCTGGCTTTAACCCACTAGACCCCACTCCCCTTCCAGAGCCGGGGAGAGAACCCAGGAGTCCTGCTTACCAGACCCCCCTGCTCTAACCAGTAGACCTCACATCCTTTCCAAAGCCAGGGAGAGAACCCAGGAGTCCTGGCTCCCAGCCCTGACCAAGAAACCCCACCCCACTCCCCTCCCAAAGCCAGGAATAGAACCCAGGAGTCCTGGCTCCCAGCGCCCCCCTGCTCTAACCCACTAGACTCCACTTCCTTCCCAGAGCCAGGGAGAACCCAGGAGTCCTGGCTCCCCTCCCAGCCCCACCTACCAGTGGCTATTAATATCCTCCCCTCTGGCTACACCCCTCCCACGCCCTGGTAGCCAATCTCCTCGGGTGTCAGAGCCCGGCTGCTGGTCATGAGGAAATAGAAATCACCTGACTTTACTTTCGTTTCCTTAGGTGGAAATCTTGGACGCTGGCAGAGCGAGCTGTGGGGCAGGTAAGGGGGGGTAACTACCATCCCTGGGGGGCAGACTCGCTCCCTCCAGTCTATCCTACCCACCCCCCCACGGGGCAGGCTCGTCCCCCACCCCCCGGCCCCTCTGTTCTGCCCACCCAGACACCCCACCTGAGGTTTGAATTGCTGGTTTCGAACCAGTGGCACCTGGGACGCACCCAAGGTAAATTCCAGCCACTCCCCGGCCTCTGCCTGGCGCCCGGCCCCGGCCCCGGCCCCGGCCCCACCAGCGCAGCGAGCCGCGCCCGGCCGCCAATCCCCAGATCTGCTTTAAAAATCCCCAGAGGCTGAAAATCCCTCTGCCCCCGGGGCACTTGCGCCTCGGAGTGGAGCGGACGGGGGCGCAGATCGCAGCGGGCTCTCCCCAGGTGTGACGGTTGGGGACACGGGATTTCCTCCTTCAACGGAGTCGGGAATTAGTAGTGTTTAGTTCCAGGGAGCCCGGACTCCTGGGTTCTCTCCACAGCTCGGGGACGGGAGGGGGGCTATTGGGTTACAGCAGAGAGGGCTTGGAGCCAGGACTCCTGGGTTCTCTCTCCAGGAGGGAAGTGGGGGCTAGTGGGTTAGAGCTGGGGCTGGGAGCCCGGACTCCTGGGTTCTCTCCCCAGCTCTGGGAGGGGAGTGGGGGCTGGTGGTTAGAGCAGGGGGGGCAGGGAGACAGGACTCCTGGGTTCTCTCCCCAGCTCTGGGAGGGGAGCTGGGAGCTGGAACCTCTGGGTGCAGTGGGACTGTGGAATGAGGCGCTGGCCAAAGAGCGTTTGCTCATTTCTTGGGGTGCTAGTGGGGATGGGGGGTGTCCCCAGTACACAAGGACAGTACTGGGGAACTCAGAGCTCAAGAAGTGGGATTAAGACATGGCATGTCCCATCCCTGCCTGGTGCCTCAGTTTCCCCCTCTGCCAGCTCTCCTGTTTGAGCACAGTGGGTGTGAGAGGGTTAATCCATTCATGTCCTGTTGTCTCAGTTCTCCAGCAGAGTTTGGCTTTAGCCCGAGCCCAGGAGGAGGGGAGTTCGGGCAACTGGAGCCTGGCCTGTCACCTGCTGCATTATGGGAAATGCAAATAATAAAGGGTAAGTGCTCCAGTCCCACCCAATTCAGGTGTAACCTACTCCAGAGCTGGGGCTAGAACCCACGAATCCTGGCTCCCAGTCCCTCCGGTCTATCCCTTACACCCCAATCCCCTGCCCCCCCAAGCTGGGATAGAACCCAGGAGTCCTGGCTCACAGGCCCCCTGCTGTGTGTCTCCCAGGCCAATCCCACCCCCCTCCTCAAAGCCAACTCCAGAGGGGATGGTGAAGCGACTCCAGGAGGACGTCACCTGCTCCATCTGCCTGGACATCTTGGAGGACCCCGTCTCCATCGAGTGCGGCCACAACTTCTGCCGGGGCTGCCTCTCAGCTCACTGGAGTGGGGTCTCAGCCTGGGGATCCCAGTGCCCCGAGTGCCGAGCTCCCTGCTCCAGGGACAGGATGATCCCAGACACACGCGTCAAAAACCTGGTGGAGAAAATCAGAGACCTGCCATGCGAAGAGACGCTGACAGCAACGGGGACAGTGAGCCCTGAGGTGGGTGCAGCCATGGCTGGTCCAGAGATGCAGCCACCTCTGGGGCAGGGCAGGTGGGGAACAGCCGCATGGCCATTTCCTGCAGCACAGTGTCTCCTAACTCCACGCTGGGGCCCTGGGGTCAGAGGGAAGGCCGGCTAACGGGATTCCTGTGTCCCTTTAGCAACCGGTCAGATCCCTGGTCTGATAAGGGGGGAGCTGGACCCCAGGGCTCAGACCTCCTGATAAGAAATTAATCCCCAAGCAAACAGCCTGTGACTCCATACAGGGGACCCCAGTGGGGGGGCTAGCTGGCTGGAAGGTGGGGTGGGGGGGAGAGGATGGGACATGGGGCCTTTCCCCTCTAGGGGGCACTGGCTTGGATCTGGCCCAGGGCGGGACTGGCTGGTTCAGGGGATGGGAATGGGGTACTGGGCTCTGATCCAGGGCACAGGGGACTCACCATCTCAGGGGTGGGGTCCCAGCTCTGACCCTGCTCTGTCCCTGCAGCAGGGGCCGGAGATCCAGCCAGAGCAGGGGCACCCGGTGCAGCTGGTGCATCTGGACGAGGAAGGGGGCCTGACCCTGGACGAGGAGGCCCTGAGCCGCTGCCTGGAGCAGGGTGGGGTGGGGGACGCCCCCGTCTGCCTGGTGTCCATCATCGGGGAGCAGCGCCGGGGCAAATCCTTCCTACTGAACTACCTGCTGCGCCGGCTCCGGAGCCCGGTGAGTGGAGCCCTGATCCCCTCCCAGAGCTGGGGAGAGAACCCAGGAGTACTGGTTCCCAGCCCCCCCCCCCCTCCCCTCTCCGTCCTGACCCAGTGGGGAGCTGTGTGTCCGTCTAGACGGAGTGTTTGTTTAGACTTCACCGAGTTTGTGCTTGTATCTGTCTCAGCCTGAGTCTGCCTGTCCATAATCTTTCCAGCGTGCTGGTCCCCACGCTACCTGCCTGCTAATAAAATACCCACAGTCCCCCTGCCCCCCTGCACTAATTGCCCCTCCTCTCATGTTTCCCTCCCCCCAGGAAGTGAAGGACGGATCCTGGATGGGCCGGGAGGAGGAGCCCTTGGAGGGGTTCGAGTGGCGAGTTGGCGCCCGCAGCGTCACCAAGGGGGTGTGGGCGTGGAGTCAGCCCTTCTGGGTCCCCACCGAGTGGGGGAAGGTGAGTGGGAAGGGCGGGGAAATGGGGTGGGGAGATGCGTGACCCCAGCAGATCTCTACTTGGGGGAGCAGAGCCGACAGAGGCCTGGGAGGGGAGGCAGGGAACCCAGTGCCCCCCAGGGGCTGGGTCTCACTCAGTGCTGGGGCATCCGGGGGACAGAACGGGGAACTCGCTTGTGACCCCGGCCTGTGGCTCCCCCCCAGGTGGCCGTGCTGCTGGTCGACACTGAGGGCTCCATGGACATTGCCAGAGACACAGAGACCAGCGTCAAACTCTCCGCCCTCTCCATGCTGCTTGGCTCCTACCAGGTAGGCACTGGGGGCGCCATGCTGCGGGGAGCAGGGCAGGGCTCAGCTGGGGGCGCTCTCCCCTGGCAGCCAGGGCTGGCCCTGATGCCCCAGGTAGGTGCTAGGGGGCGCTGTGCTGCGGGGGGCGGGGCAGGGCTCAGCGGGGGGCGCTCTCCCCTGGCAGCCAGGGCTGGCCCCGATGCCCCAGGTTGGCACTAGGGGGCGCTGTGCTGCGGGGGGAAGGTCATGCTGGTTCTGTATCTAACCCTGTCCTCTCTGATTACTTGCAGATCCTGAATGTTTCCAGCCAGATAAAGGACCCTGATCTAGCATATCTGGAGGTGAAGGGGAAGAGGGCAGGATGTGGCGCCGTTCTCATACAGCCCCAATGGGGTAGTCTGCCCATTCTACAGCTGGGGAAACTGAGGCCCAGAGAGAATCAGTGACTTGCCAGAGGTCACACAGGGAATCTGTGGAACAGCCAGAACCCAGGAGTCCTGGCTCCCAGCCCCACTCCCGCTGTAACCCACTAGACCCCACTCCCCTCCCAGAGTTGGGGAGAGAACCCAGGAGTCCTGGGGCTGTATCTAGCAGGGTCCAGGGTCTGGAATTCGCCCCTGCCCGAGCTCCAGGCTTACTGAGAACATGGTGTCACGGAGTGTGGGGGGACACACGGCCCTGCACCCCCGGCTTCCTGCGATTCACCATGACTCTCAGCCAGCCAGTAACACAGAAGGTTTTTTTAGACGACAGGAACACAGTCCAAGACAGGTCTTGCAGGCACAGACAACAGGACCCCCCCAATTAGGTGCATCTTGGGGTCCCAGGGCACCACAGCCCTCCTTGGGAGGTCAGAGTCCCGTCTGCCTCCCACCCATTCCACCAGCCATCTCGGAAAACTCTCTCCCCAGCGTCTCTTCCCCCAGCCTTTGTTCAGTTTCCCGGGGAAAGGTGTCACCTGGCCTCTAACCCCTTCCTGGGTTCTCCTGTTACATGCTCAAATAACCTCCCTCTGCCAGTCTCCCACCCCCAATGCAGACTGTCCCAGCCGAACTCCCCTCTCAGCATTCAAAGACCACATTAAGAACAGTCCCAGTTCATCACACATGGGTGTTCTCCGGAGGTTGGGAAAGTCTCAGTATTTGGTATCTTGGTCTAATCTGTTCTACCGTAGGAGGGCATGGGAGGGGGTGGGGGCAAACAGAGCCCCTGGCAGGGGAGTGGGGAACCTTGACTTGCAGTTCTGCCTTTTGGCCACTAAGTGTCTCTGCACCACAGGGGGAAAGCCGTGGGACCCTGGTAACAGACCGAGACCAAGCTGGAGCTGCAACTTGGGGGGTGGGAGCGGGAGGCTGTTGGTAGGATTTCCATCCCCACCCACCCCCAGGGCACACGCTGCCTCCCCGCCCCAGAGATCCCAGCCCCAGACTCACCCCCCTGCTCTCTCTGCTCTGCAGATGTTTCTGCACGTGGCCGAAGAGGTGGGAAAGGAATACGGGCTGGAGTCCATTCAGGTGAGATGACATTTTCCTCCCCCCCATCCCACACCCGAGGGGTTCAGCCTTCCCCTCCTGACATCATCCCATCTCCCCTGCAGCACCTAGACCTGCTGGTGCGGGATTGGAGCAACTCCACGGTCCTTGGAACTGACGGTGGGAAAGAGCATCTGAGAGACGTCCGACAGGTGAGTGTGGGGAATGGGACGTGGGGCCTTTCCCCTCTGGGGTGTTGGCTCTGATCCGGCCCCAGGGCAAGGGCCTGGCTGGCTCTGGGGAGCCGGGAATGGGTCCCAGGGTATTTCTCTCTATTGATGTCTCACTTTGCTGATTTTCCCCTGACTCCGGCAGATGCTGGCGGCGACGTCCCCTTGCAAACACCCCAAGGCCCTGGAAGCGCTGAGCAGAAGCAGCACCCGCTGTTACCTGATGCCCTTCCCTGGCAAGCGGATCATGACTGGGAGCCAGGGAAGCCTGAGAGGTAACGGACGCGGGACAGCGGCTCTGAGCCTGCGCGATGGGGTGTCTCCGTCTCTGCCAGCAACGGGCCGTGGGGGGATGTTCCGGCTCCGGGTTCATTGCCATGTCCCTCCCCTTCGCAGACATGGATGAGGATTTCCGGGACAGCCTGAGGGAGTATGTCACTACCCTGGTGGGCTCGGCCGGTCAACACGCGTGGAGAGACCGACATGGGGCGCTGCTGACCGGGACACAGCTCACTGCTCGGATAATGGTGGGGACCGGCCAGCTGGGGATGGGGTCTCAGTAGGGGGCGCTCTACCCTGGCAGTCAGTGCTGGCCCCATGCCCCCATGTGGCAGTAGGGGGCTGCGCTGCAGGGAGTGGGGTGGGGTTCTGTAGGGACGCTCTCCCCAGCAGTCAGGGCTGTACCCAGTACCCCTGGTGGCACTAGGGGGCGCTGTCCTGTGGGGAGTGGGCTTAGCCCTTTTTGCTGAATTTCTGTTAATTAAGAATTAGGGTTGTATTTATATCCTAGCAGAATCCCAGCTTGGATGGTTCTACTGAGCCTTCCTACATCATCCAGGGAACTTCTTCATTTCCCCGCCAAACTGATTCCCACCATTGTCTTATGGCCGTTCCCCAGCTGCCCTGCCCCAGAGGTGGCTGCATCTCAGTGCCGGGCGAACCATCCCCATGTTCACGGTTTTCTAAGCCTTGTGGAGTCTGTATTGTGATTTCTTGTGCTTTCTTTGCAGAAATTCTCTGATCTGATGAAGAAACATCACTGTGGCTTCTCCTCTCCCGCTCAGGTACCTTCTCTGCCTCTGACCTGATCTAGGGGCGTGTCCCACCTCCTGAATTCACTTCCGATGTAAAACTGCTTCTTACTTTTGTCTTATTGCTGCTGCCTCACCCGAAAGGTGGCTGCATCTCATGTCTGGCAAGTCATCCCCGTGTGGGGTTTCTGTGAGGCTATTCCCCATCTGCCCCACCCCAGAAGTGGCTGCATCTCGGCACTGGGTGAGCCCATCCCTATGCAGTGTTGTGTGTGTTCCCCTATGCTCCACCCCAAAGGTGGCTGCATCTCAGGAATGTGTTACCACTTGTTGGAAAATGGTGGTGTGTGTGGTTTTCTTTCCCCTCCCCCCTCCACTCCCCACAGAGAAATTTGAGTTTCTGTTGAAATATCAAAAGCTGAAATACTCTGATCTGGAAATGCCTCTGTGGTGTCTGATGGGAATTATAGCTTAGAGATTAATGGTGATATCCTATCTCCTAGAACTGGAAGGGACCTTGAAAGGTCATCAAGTCCAGCCCCCTGCCTTCACTAGCAGGACCAAGTACTGATTTTGCCCCAGATCCCTAGGTGGCCCCCTCAAGGATTGAACTCTCAACCCTGGGTTTAGCAGGCCAATGCTCACCCCAGATCCCTAGGTGGCCCCCCCCAGAGCTTGGCTCTGCATGCTCCCCTTTCTCCCCATAAATCAGTTCTGGTCAGACTTCAGCTCCCATGATGCACCACAGAGGAGGAGATGATGCATCATGGGACTCCATGGCTGTGGGGCATCATGGGGCTTGTAGTTTGTGTGCCTGGCGTCAGGCAGAGCTGCCGCGGTGGTGCATGGGAGTTGTAGTTTCACACTGGCTAGTGGCGTCGCTCTGTTACATGAAGTTGCTGCGGTGGAAACTGCAGTCGCTAGGTGGAGACAGGGCCCCATAAACTGTGGCTGACCCCAGCCTTGTCCTCCCTGTGCAGATGGCCATCACCTTCCACAACCAGAGGGTCCTGGACAGGGCCAGCGCAGACCACGCTCTCTTTCTGAAGGAGAAGGTGAGTTTGGGTGGGGAGGGCTCTGTCCAAGCCAGGGGAACCCCAGGGAACCATCCCAGTGAACACTACTGACTGTGGGCTTGGGGGTAGGAGATGGGATCTCATATCTCCAGCTCCCAGGGTGGCTATAGAGATGAGAGGCTCAAACTCCTGCACTGGAGTTGTGGGGCGGGCGGGGGGGAGGTAGATAAGTTTGCCTGTGGCCAGCTGCAGTAGTGGAGGTGTGATGGCCCAGGTGGTTAATGGACTGGACCAGGACCATGAACTCCTGGGTTTTGTCCACTGCAATGCCGCAGACTCCCCTGGGTGAGTCACGGAGTCTCTCTCTCTCTCTGGGCCTCAGTTTTCCCCATCTAGCAAAGGGGGAGAATGATCCTACCTTTGGGGGTTTTAGCCTGTGAGCTTTTTGGGGCAGGGACGGTCTCTCACTGAGGTTGTGGGCTGGGCCCGGTGCAAGGGGGCCCCCATCTCAGTCCTGGATTGTGTCCTGCTCGGCACGAGGGGGGGCCCCCATCTCGGTCGGGGAGGTGGAATCTGTGCAGCGCTTGCCCCTTCTTACGCTCTTGGCCGTCTCCTCTCCCGGCGGGCGCAGGACGGCGACTCCCAGAACCCAATCACCTGCCTGAAGGTGCGGCCGAGCAAGATGGCGAAGTTGTTGGCGGAGCGGCGCGGGCAGTTGCTGTGGCGGTGCTGGACGGACATGCCGGAGCCGGCGCCGGAGACAGAGGCCCGGCTGACGGAGCTGGAGGAGGAGCTGACGCGGGAGGCTGAGACGTTCCTGGAGATCTACGGGAAGCGCTTTAAGACATTTGCCATTTTGGCAGGCGTGGGTGCGGGGGTGGTGGTCCTGGGCCCGGTGGGCGGAGCTGTCGGTGCCGGGATCGGTGCTGGGATCGCTGCTGCTGCCGTCGCCGCCGAGGCGGCTGTGGCCATTGGGGCTGGGACGGGCGCCGCGGCCGGTATCATCGTGGGTGGGGGCGTGGGCGGGGGCGTGGGTGGCAACATCACCAGGAAGGATAGGCAGAAGGTTGAGGCCGCTGGTGGTGGGAGGGAGGAGGGGGATGGCACTGAGGATCTATCTGACGACAAACCCCTGATCTGATCGGTGTCTCCCCCTCCCCCCAATCTGGGGCTGACGAATGGGGTGACGGGGCTGCAGCATAGCCCAGATACGTCCCCAAGAAGCCACCCCAGAGCAGGGAGCCATCGCCCAGAGATTCTAAGAAGGGACATTTAGATCCTCTCGTCTGACCTGCTGTGCCACCCAGGCTGGAGAACGCCACCCACTTCCCCCTGCGTTGGGCCCGATATCTCCCCTTGGACTAAATCATCTCCCGGAAAGGCGGCCAGTCTGGCTCGGAAGCCGGAAGAGATGGAGACCCCACCGCTTTCCCACTGGTGAATCACCCACGCTGTGAAAAATCCGGTGCCTCATTTCCGATTGGAGTTTGTGTGACTTTAACTTCCAGCCCTCGGTCCTCGCTCTGCCTTCCTCTGACATTGCAGGGCCACTCCGGCTGCAACGCGAAGCGCTTGGAAATGCCCGGCCGATGGTCCTGTCCCGAGATCACCCACTGGGGGTGACAACGGGTGGCTGGCTTACTTCCTACATGAACAGTCCTGTGGTCCGCTCCTGGGGGATAGATCTCCAGCCGCCCCTCTGAGCGGGAAGGCGGGTCCAGGGGAGAGGGCACAGGAAGACCCTGTGGATTCCCTGCTCTACCAGGGACTTCCTCTGTGACCTTGGCCAAGTCACTTAGTTTCTCCGTGCCTCAGTTTCCCATCTGTATAATGAGGGTAATAATGCACTGAAAGATGGTGAGGGGTTTGAGCTCTACTGAGAGAAAACACTATCCAAGAAACCAGCATCATTCTTTATTCCAGGGGAGGGCTATAAAACCATCCGAAGCTAAAGGGAATCGGTTCCACACCCATCAATGCACGCCGAGCACTGGACACCATCTGGCCAACTCCACAGGAAGTCTCAGCTCCGACCCTTCAGCACTGGTGAAAGGGCAGGACTTGGGCGTGGGGATTTCCCATCAATGGGGTCTCGGGCTAACGGGACTCTCCAGCTGTTCCACCCCAGCCTCCGCTGGTGCCTACGATCCGATAGACGCTCTAGCGTGAGGTAGGGGGTCAGCTCCATCCTGGCCTGGGCTTGGTGAGTCGGGAGCACCCCTTCCCCTCACAGATTCCAGGGCCTGGATAACAATGGCCAGTGATGGAGAATCTGTTCCAATTGTTCTCACTGTTAAAAATGTCTGTCTTACTTCCAGTCTGAGTTTAGTCTACACTTTTCTGTGCTAGACCGAAGGACCTATTGTCAAATATTTGTTCCCCAGGTGGGTACGTATGGACTGGGATCTAGTCACCCCTTAACCTGCTCTTTGAGTCCTATCTCCCTAAGAACTCCTTGGAAACCTGATATCAGGGCTGCGGGTTTTCAGAGGCTGCACCTCTCGGGACAGAGCAAGAGAAAGCAGAAGTCACTTGAGACTATGGACTGCAAAGTGGTTCTGCTGGAAGGTGGCCAGTCAACAGGTCCTGGGTGCAGGACAATCTCAGAGCAATGGAGGCATTTAAGCAATTTCCTTTGTGCGCAACAGGAGGAAAGATATTTGGGGTACTGTGTTAAGGCGTCAAGGAGTGCGTGTGTGTGTGTGTGTCTGTAAATGACCACCATGGGGGAGTGCTAAAGAGTAATCTCCCAGATGCGAAGTTCTGATTCATTGAGCCCTGAATGGCGAGTTCCTAGTTTTGGGACAAGTCTCCGCAGAAACCTCCAGCTCTAATTCGGTTAGGGGAAGATACAACTGCTGCTTATCGGAAGTGCTTTGTTAACGTGTATTCCTGTGGGTTGGGGGGGGGGGGGAACACAATAGGGGAAACAGATTAGCCATTAAACGAACAGGAGTACGTGTGGCACCTTAGAGACTAACAAATTTATTTGAGCATAAGCTTTCGTGGGCTACAGCCCACTTCACTGGATGCATAGAATGGAACATATAGTGAGGAGATATTTATACATACAGAGAACATGAAAAGGTAGGAGTTGTCCTATCAACTCTAAGAGGCTAATTAATTAAGATGAGCTATTGTCAGCAGGAGAAAATAACCTTTGTAGTGATCATCAAGATAGCCCATTTAAGACAGTTTGACAAGAAGGTGTGAGGATACTTAACATAGGGAAATAGATTCAAGGAAATGCAGTGATGAAAACTGGAAATAGGATGTGAGCTGAAGCCTCACCAGTGCTGAGAAGAGCGGGACAATTACCTCCCGTGTCTCACATACGACCTTCCACTTAATACACCCCACATGACATTTCCCATTTTTACTCCCCATCACACTCTTGTCTTTGGTGATTTGACTGCGTTGATGACTTGATTCTAATATTGCTGCTGCTAATTTGATTACTTGATCTTATTTTCACCTCAACTGGAGAATGGCCAAGTCAGTTGGGTAGAGTTTGTACTGGCTTGGTCTTAGCGATCTGTTTTCTTGATTTTGTATTCAGGGTTGTTTTACTTGTAACAAAATGGCTAGAAAGCACACTGGGTCATTTTGTTCTTTCAATCAGCAACTTGGGCCGGAACCATAGAGAATCTTTGTCTGATACCAGCCAAGCCGCTGAGGAAAGCCATTAGCTTCCCCTAAACTAACTGTGGTTCTCATAGGGTCTGTCTGGTGCCTGGCATGAGAGAACCCTGATCCCAGCTGCAGAGGAAACCCTAACCCTTAACAGCGCCTCATAACCTTAACCCCCGACTGGGTATGTGTCACTTAAATCAATTCCCTGCCTTTGCAGGGGCCGTGGTCATGGTGTTCCTCCTGTTCTCTGCCTGTGGCACATGACAGTTCAGTCTCCTGAGGGCTGTAATGCTTGGGTCTAATTCTAGCTGTTGGCTTGGTGTGGGGATGGCCGGGGGGTGTTGGGAGGGGAGGGGGGAGCTGTGATATACAGCTCAGAGTAGCTGGTCTGGCCATGAACCCTAACCCAAGCAGCCCCCATATCTAACCCATAAATCTAACCCTCACCTTTAACCCTACCTCTAACTCCAACCCTGCCACTAACCCTTGTCTAATGTCTAATCCCTGCCTTTACACTAACCTCTAAAAAGAGACCCAGCTCTCGGAGCGGAAGGTGGGGAGTTTTGGGATTGTCCTTAGATCCTGGGGGAGGTTCCACCATCTGGACCAGGCCCCGGAGAAACGTCTGTCTCCCGCACCGATGAGCTTCACCTTTGAGCTTCACCTGGGCCAGCAGGTCAACCATGGTGTTCATCCTGGATCTCTCAGCTCTTTCAGACACGGAGGGCCCAGGGCATGAAGTGCCTTGAAGATAAGACTGAGACCATGAACTTGATTCAATATTGTAGCACAGACGTGGGCATATGGCCCCTGTGTCCGGCCTTCTTCTCAATATTTCACCGAAGGGGGTCATGTGTGGGCTCTGCCGAATGCTGGGAAGCAGCCGCTTGTCACGGTTATTGCCAGATGTTTGTATGAGCAACGGTTTTAGAGCCAGGTCCCAGGTAGGACATTGAGTTCTGAATCTTCTGGGAGTCAAACCTGAGGCGGGGGGAGGCTGGGAGCCAACCCGGTCAACGTGAGAACAATGCACGTCCGTGGAGGCAGCCTCTGTCTGCTGGCTGGACGAGATGCAGGCTGGCCATCTACAGAGAGAAACCGACCCCAAGGGAATGCTCAGGCGAGGGGGCCCCTGGGCTCAGAGACAATAGCTTGTGACTGGATCAGAGCAGAGGAAATGGCCCATTACAGAGAAGTGACTTTGCCAGCGGCGGGAACGGGGGATCCCAGACTGGACAAGCGCTGTGAAACCCTCCAACGGGAGAGAGACACCTCAGCAGACAGGAAAGGAACCTGTTAGCAAGGACGGGCTCTAGACGGCGTCTGATGTTTTCCTTTTACCTGTCACCTCAGGTTTCCAAAGCCTGTTC